TATAAAAATCTGTTCTCCAAATCATTAACCTGTCAGTTATTAATTTCTCAACTCAGCAGAATATCATAAAGCACCGGCTGGCATTATTGGCGCTAACTAGTGAAAGTGGTTTTACGCAAAATTAAAAACAAACAAACAAACTATTATGTAATATCACATATATTACTAATTAACTTTAAAAGTTATTCATATATTATTGCATAGAGTGCTAAAGCTTATAGTGTTTGTTGTTTCTAGGGAGTTTCCAGAATATACATGTTTAAAGAATCAGCTTGTCGATAAAGCACGTTCGTTAACTTCATCGGTAAAATATCTTTATAATTATAGAACCTAGAAATGTCTAATGGATAAAGCACGATTTATTTATTTGTTTGTTGTTGTTAAGCGCAAAGCTACACAATGTGCTGTGCCCAGGACGGGTATCGAAACCCGGTTTTTAGTATTATAAGTCCACAGTCTTACCACTGAGTCACTGATGGGTAGGGCAAGCATGTTTGGTAAGCAGCCTAGAAATGCCTAGTGAAACAAACATGCATGCAGGATGGTAAGCTACCGACGATACTATGATTAAAGATATCGTTATAACACGAGCTCCGGTTTCTTATCAAGTCTGTCTTCAATTACTTGAGCTGATAACACGAGCTCCAGTTTTTTATCAAGTCTATCTTCAGTTACTTGAGCTGATAACACGAGCTCCGGTTTCTTATCAAGTCTGTCTTCAATTACTTGAGCTGATATCACGAGCTCCAGTTTTTTATCAAGTCTATCTTCGGTTACTTGAGATGATAACACGAGATCCAGTTTTTTATCAAGTCTGTCTTCAGTTACTTGAGATGATAACACGAGCTCCAGTTTCTTATCAAGTCTGTCTTCAATTACTTGAGCTGATAACACGAGCTCCAGTTTTTTATCAAGTCTGTCTTCAGTTACTTGAGCTTACAACACGAGCTCCAGTTTTTTATCAAGTCTGTCTTCAATTACTTGAGCTGATAACACGAGCTCCGGTTTCTTATCAAGTCTGTCTTCAGTTACTTGAGATGATAACACGAGCTCCAGTTTCTTATCAAGTTTGTCTTCAATTACTTGAGCTGATAACACGAGCTCCAGTTTTTTATCAAGTCTGTCTTCAGTTACTTGAGCTGATAACACGAGCTCCAGTTTCTTATCATGTCTGTCTTCAATTACTTGAGCTGATAACACGAGCTCCAGTTTTTTATCAAGTCTGTCTTCAGTTACTTGAGCTGATAACACGAGCTCCGGTTTCTTATCATGTCTGTCTTCAGTTACTCAAGATGATAACACGAGCTCCGGTTTCTTATCATGTCTGTCTTCAGTTACTCAAGATGATAACACGAGCTCCGGTTTCTT